CAGATTTGTAGGGCAGAATTAGGATCATGATAGTGGGAGGGGGGTGAGCATTTAGAAACTGGAGGAAAGTTGTATGTTTCGTTGTTGCTACACTGCAACCTGACTGGCTTGTCCCCTTCCTGTGAACTTCTGTAAGGGGATGTCCAGTTGCCTACAGATGGGCTTTGGGACCCCAATCAGCACTCCTCCTCATTCACAATGATATGATTGTTCTTTGATCCCTGATATCTCATCCCTTCGACACCTCGTGATCACACAGGCTGGTGTGCTGCTTCCATGTGGGCCTTGTTGCTTCTGAGCTAGATGGCCGCTTGTTTACCTTCAAGCTTTTAAGACTCCAGATGCTATATCTCTTGGTAGCTGGGCACCATCAGCTTTCTTCACATTTGCTTAGGCACACATTTGTCTTCAGCGGAGGTGTCACGAAGATGAGCATCATGCAATGCCAGTCTAATAGAATAAAGTGTTCGTGCATTGAGGGAGTACTTGAGTAGAGGCCTAATGTCTATCTGTCACCTTAATACTAAACCTATACATATATGCACATAGATTCTATTTCCCCATTATCATATATAAATATATATGTACATATTTAAATATGTACATGCCTGTATTTAGACCTCCATAATAACCCTTTACCTCCTAGTTCTTTCCTCTATTTCCTTTGACTTTCCTCCTGTCCCACTATCAGGCTCAGCTTTCATTTGGGTTTCAGTAATTCCTCTAGGTTACACTGCCCTTGATCACTCCCTACCAGGCCTCTTATACCTTCTTTGCCACTGATTTTGGACCACTTGTTCCTTTGTCCCTGGGTTTCTTAACACCACTTCCATTCCCCGACCTTCCCCTCTTGTAATCAGTCCCCCTGGAACCATCGGTCCTGTTGTTTACTCCTCCAGCTTGTTTATCCAGCCTATCTTATCTAGATAGACCTGCAGATATAATAATATACACAGAAAAACAAGACAGAGCAAAACAAAGTGACACAAGAACAGAAAAGAAAACAACAACAAAAATGACATTAAAAAAACATGTAAATAGTTCAAGGTCTGTTTGTTGACCTTTAGGAGTGTTTTCTGGTTGAGTCTGATGGGGTGCCACGCCTTGGCCCCAAAGTCTGTTTTTGTTACTCCCTGGGGACTTCCTTGCTCTGCCCCTTTACTGTTCTGTTGCACACCCTTAGTCTTTTGTCTCGGTGTGGTGGGGCCAGATCTGGCGCAATTCCCACACTGGTACCACAGTTTTTAAATCCATTTGTCTGTTGATGGAAATTTGGGCTGTTTCCAACTTCTTGCAATTGTGAACTGTGCCGCGATGAACATTGGAGCACAGATGTCTGGCCTTGGTTTGTTTCTTGCCTCTTCTGGGTAGATGCCCAGTAGGGGGATTGCTGGGTCCTATGGTAGCTCGATTTCCATGTTTTAGATATCGCCAGATCGATTTCCAGAGTGGCTGCACGTCCCTATAGGTAGACCAGCAGTGGACGGGAGTTCCCTCTCACCACAGCCCCTCCCACACTTGTTGCTTTCTGATTTTTTTATTTGGGCGATGTTTGGCTGTGTTAGGTGGTATCTGATAGTTGTTTTACTTTGCATTGGAGAGGTGGAATTAAAGGATAAATTTTCCATGAACTTTTTGAAGTCCCCTTGTTTGTAGATTTATGTAGTTTGAATCTTTCACTGACTTGAACAATGAATGATTATGGCCCTTTTTTTTTTCAAACATGTAGTGAACAGTCTTTTCAATGTCTTGCCTTGGGTGAAGTTCCCGAGGGTGTACACCCACTGCGGTATTTGGGGGTCTCAAGTGATGGGCAGTTTCAAACTCTGAGCCACCCCTCAGCGGAAAGGGGAGGCAGCCTGCTCTCATGAAGATCTCTGAAACCCGGAGGAGTGGGGCTTCTCCGTCCTCTACGAGGCAGAGTGGACTCCAGGGAAGAGGGGTCTCTTGGTGAACTTCCAGAACCTTGAGAGACTAAAATGAGCTGCTTTAAATCACCCACTGGGTGTATCACCATAGTCCAAAGGTTATAGCTTCAAGCACAGGTGCACACGCACAGGTGCACACGCACACAGGTACACGATTTCTGATTAGCCAATCATTATTTGCCTGTCCTACTCTCAGGCCTTGACCTTTGTGCCATTTCTCCATGCCACTACCTCGGATAAAGTCTGGGATTTTAAATTCAGAAGAGCCCATTAGTAAAGTCCCTGGGGCTGTTTCCATTAGGGATAACCGTTTGCTTTATTTATTTGTTTATTTTTAAACTTTATTTATTTTAATCGTTGCTTTAGATCACTGTGGAAATGACCCCCTCCAGTCCTGAGACCTCTCCTGCTGGGGCGCTGTGGGAACAAACGGTGTCTTTCTGCCATGAAGTTACTGAACTCAGCACCCTGACCTTTGGACTTCCCACTCTCTCAACTTCACCCTCGTGTCTCGTGTCCTGATCACCCCTGGTCAGCACCGTTACACAACCAGATTTATGGGTTACGTCTGAAGCCAGGGAGAACTTTGAAGTTCATACAGCGATAGAGAGGGGACTGCAAAAAAGAAACCCAAAAACCATTTTAAATGGATAACGTCACCTGTCTGACAAAAGGAGAAACAATGTGAACATCAACTCCACGTAGATTCAACAGCTACTTCGTGGGTGCCTGGTGGTGCCAGGAAAGGAACACGTATGCAGTGACCTCGACAGCAGGGAGCAAGACTGACCACTGTCTCAAGGGAAGGAAGACCTTGAGCGAGGATTTCCACATGCGATCCCCAAACCAAAACCCACTGCCGTCCAGTGGGTTCTGATTCCGTGACTAGCGAGACCCGATAGCACAGGGTAGAACTGCCTCTTTGGGTCTCCAAGGCTGCATCTACGGAATCAGAAAGCCTATCTTTCTCCTGAGGAGTGGCTGGCGGATTCAAACTGCTGACTGTGTGGTTAGCAGCCCAGCTTGGAAGCCACTGCACCACCGGGGCTCTTTTCCAGGTGAGATGAAATAAGCCAAACCAAGCTCGGTGCTATGGAGCTTCATCTGACTCCTGGAGACCCGACAGGAGAGGGTAGAACTGCCTCGTTGGGATTCCGAGTCTGTAAGTCTCTACATGAGCAGAGTCTCCTGTTCTCCCAAAGAGCACCTGGTCGTTTTGAACCGCCCAACTCGTAAACCAACAGACCCCCAGGGCTCCCGTGCAGGTGTGATAAGACTATGTAAATGGAAGAAATGGAATGTAAAGAGAATGTTTACAAAGGAGGGAAAAAGAGGAGCTAATATCAAGGACTGAAATAGAAAGTAAATGCTTACAAAATAATGATGGTAACATGTACAAATATGTTTGATACAATTGATGTATGGATTGCTGTAAGAGCCAACATTAAAATTATCTTTTAATAATTAAAAAAAGAAAGTTGAAGTATGAGAATCACAGAATAACAGAAAGCTAAGACAGTAAGTCACCAATTTTAAAATAAACAAAGGATTTGAATAGATATATCTCTGAAGAAGATATACAAATAGCTAATAAGGCCATAAAAGATATTCAACTTACTCATTGTTGGGTAAGGCCAATCAAAATCATAATGTGATATTACTTGACACTCGCTCACTGACACTGACAATTCTGACCCAGAGTGACCCTGAAGGATCGCGTAGACCTGCCCCTGTGGGTGTTTCTGAGACTGTAACTGTTTAGGGGAGAAGATAGCACATCTTTCTCCCAGGGAGCAGCTGGTGGGTTTGAACTGCTGGCTCTGCGGTTAGCCCCCCAGTGTGTAACCCACTATGACACCAGGGCTCTAGTGACCCTCACTAGGAAGTCTTTAACAGATCGACACTAGCAAGTGTTAGTGAGGATGGAGCATTAGGCCCCTCATATATACTGCGGGTGCAGGCACTATAGGAAGCATTTTGGTAGCTCCTCAATATAGATGTCACAGACATTAAACATAGGACTACTGTATAACCTAGTAGCTCCACTTCCAGATATCTGCCCAAAAGAATTGAAACACACCCACAAAAAGACTTGAATATAGATGTTTGTAGCAGACTTAACATAGTAAAAAGTGGAAACAAATCAAATATCCATCAACTAATGGGTGGGTAAACAAAATATAGCAGAATATTACTCAGTGATCATGAACCATGAAATTCTGATACGTCCTAGCATACACATGGACCATGACAAGTTATGCCGAATGAAAGAAGCCAGTCACCGCAAGTCACACACCATTGGTCTGTTGCCCTTGCCCTTTATATACAAAGCATCCTGAACATTGTTCTATCAGCCACGTGGACTCAATCTACTAGACAAATTGGCTTGACGGCAATAAGTCGTCTGTGGAAAATACAGTGGGTTAACTCTAACATGGGAGAAAAATAACAAAATTAGAAACTATTTAATGAAGAACACAATACCAAATGATGGCCCTTGAGTCAAGTTTGACTTCATGGAAACCCCACTGGACGGGGGAGACCTGGCCCTGTGCATTTCCAAGAATGTAACTCTCTACAGGAATAGAAAGCCGTCTTTCTCCCTCAGGTCAAATTGAGTCTTAATATTTGCTATAATAAATACATAACAGGAATCCACAGGGGTCTTTTAATGATGGGAGGCATGACAAAGTGATGCTTCAGTAGGAACACCCCGACAAGCCTTTTCCTGAGACGTACTTTCAGCTTGCAGGAGTTTGATCTGCCCCTTTTTTCCTAGCTTGTGAACAGCTTTGGAACCTTAGGAGAGATAAAGGACACCTTTATATTTCATGAATGACCAGTGTTGACAGAGGGGGAAATGAAACAGTGGAAATACTTATAAAATCAAAGGGATGAGGTTGCAGACTTTTCGAATGAGAAGTAGAAAGTATGAATCCCACGCTTCAGCAAAGCAATTAAACCCAAAGCCAGTTGAACTGGCTGAATCCAAAGGGAGTCCAAAACCCAGACCAACCTTTGGACTGCAGGTCACATCCCAAGTATAATACGCCAGATTCTCTGGCAGGCCACCCTGAGAGTTCCTGATGCCGAGCGGGCGAAATGGTGCTCCTGGAAGTGCCTACTCTTACCCTGACGATTTGTGTCGCTTGCCTGATTTTTCTTTGGGTATGGAGGAACAGTCAGCGCCAGGGAAGCCTCCCTCCTGGTCCAATGCCTCTTCCCATCATCGGGAATATGCTGCAACTAGACCCCAAGGACCTCCCTGCATCCTTCTCCAAGGTAAGGGCCTGTGATCTCCCTGCAGTGCGTCTCAGACTACAGCTAGCTGGTGGTCTTACCTCAATCTCGTGTGTTCTGCTCATCACGGAGACACTCTGGGGTGTCTATTTCTGTATTACTGTGTGGACGAGAACTCTTCAGAGCTGGTAAGGAGGGATGTTGACCTGAATGGAAATAGTGGTTCAGTTCTGTTGAATGAGAGCATTGTGGTACCAGAACATAATTTAATTCAAAGGCTTCCATCCCTCTCTGAAGATCACACCACCAAGAGACAAGCCAAATCCACAAACAGTATCACTTGCATATGAGAGCTGAGTGAAAATCTTGGTTCTTTCTGACAATGTTAGTATAGGCTTGATCAAATTACTTACATGTGATTGGGAAATAATGGCAGTACTTAGTCCCTGAAGTTATTGTATTGATTTATTAAGCTAATGCATTCACCTTACAATTACAATGTCTGGCAAATGTAATAAAAGTCCTTTTATGTTATGATTAATTATGTTACTTTTAAGGAATAAGCCTGCTCTCAGGAAGCCCAACCCTGCTAGGTGTTCTGACGTTAAATATTCCTTGGGGAAAAGACATTGTCGCTCTGAGTTCATGGTGCAAAAACAGATCTCCCGGAAAGAAGAACCAGCCCTGGAGATGTCTTCTTTGGTCATCAGTCCTAGCACTAAATAATTAATGTATTTGATAAACATTTAATGAGCCCATACTCTTTGACAAGCTCTGGGAATACTGCCATGAACAAAGAGGCAAAACACCAGCCTAACTTAACTAATATTCTAGCGAGGGGCATCAGACAATAAGCACAAGAGATTAGTAAGGTACTTAGCACTTTAGGTGTGATATGTGTAAGTGCTCAAGAGAGAAGGGAGAGCGAGGGTGAACATATAAAAAGTAAGGTTTCAGCGACAACATTGGAGTAGCCGAAGGTGCTTTGTGTTTTAACCAGATCACTCTACTGTTGATTTCTGTAGCTTCAAACTAGTAGGAGAGTGGAATTAGGATGTGTGTCTGTCTGCTTTGTTCTTCTTTTTCAAGACTGCCTTGTCTATTAGGGGTCCCTTGCAATGCCATCTACATTAGGGATGGCTTTTCCATATCTGCAAAGATGAGTGCTAGAATTTTTATTGGGATTGCATTCAATCTGTATATTGCTTTGGATTATTAACATCTTCACATGGCGTCCTCCAATCTATGTACATGAAACTTTCCCCCAACTTATTTAGGTCTATTTATTTCAGTCATGTTTCTAAATCTTTTACCTCCATGATGAAATTTATTCCTAGCTATAGTATTCTCTTAGATGCTACTGTCAATGTGATTGTTTCTTAATTTCCCTTCTAGAGAGCTCATTCCTGGTGTAGCAAAACACAGCTGAGTGTGGTGGGCTGACTTTGTATGCTGAAAAGATGCTGAATTCCGTGATCGCTCTAGAAGCTTTCCTGTGGATTCTAGAGGTGGGGTCATACATGCCATCTGCCAGTGGACATAGTTTTATTTCCCTCTTTCTCCAATTGGATCGCTTTTCTTTCTTTTTCCTGTCTCATGCATCTGGCTCGGACTTCCAGTACAGTTCTGACCGGTGGTGGGCAGAGCAGGTGGCCTTGTGTGGTTCCTTTGCTTAAGGGGCAGCTCTCGGAGCGTAGCTGCGGGCTTCCAGAAAGGTTCTTTGTCCCAGTGAGCAATGTTCCTTCTATTCCGAGTGTGTTGAATGTCATTATCATAAAACAGTATTGCGTTTTGAGCTTCCAACCAGTTCGTTCTGGTTCAACCTCCTGCTAAGAATGTGTCTTTCCAACCAACACCCCCCCCCCACCCCAATATACTGAATCAAAATCTGTATTTTGACAAGACTCCCACGAATATATTCTTATGAAGACATAAGAATCATGTGGCGCTTTAGAAGAATCACCTGGGACCTTCTTGAAATGCTGATTCTGATTTCGTAGACCTGGGGCTAAAAGGCAAACTCTCCGCAGAGGGTGGGACCTGAACAAACTGGTCTGAAGCCTTGATTTTGTCAAAGGCTTTCCCTGTGTTGATGGGGATGGTGAGCCTTTTCCTTTTTCATTCGTTGAGTTTCTACTGTTGAACTGCCCTCGCATTCCCAGGATAAGTCCTTATTCATGACGTATAATTATTTTTTAATTAAATCATTTTATTGGGTGCTCTTCCAGTTCTTATCACAATTCATACATACCTCCATTGTGTCCAGCACATTTGTACATATGTTGCCATCATCATTTTGTCTTTAAAAAAAATCATTTTATTGGGGACTTGTACAACTCTTATCACAGTCCATACATCAATGGAATCAGGCATTTTGTACATATGTTGCCCTCATTCTTTTCTAGACAGTTACTTTCTATTGAGGCCTGGGTATCTGCTGGTCACACACACACCCCGCCCACCATAAGCCCCTGATAGATTGTACATTATTATTATTTTCATCTCTCACACCGACTGCTGTCTCCCTTCCCCCATGTTTTCTGTTTACTTCCCCCTGGAGAGGGGTGTATGGTTATGTGTCAATCATTGCGATTGGTTCTCCCTTCTCTCCTTCCTCTCCCCCTCTTCCCTCTATCCTGGTATCACTATTCACACTCCTGTTCCTGGATCCTGTGCGTTGTGAGCTCCCATCCCTTTCTACACCTGTGTACATGTTCCGGTCTAGTATGAATTGAGAAGCCTCAATGGGGTCGTGGTAGTGGGGGGTGAGGAAGCCTCAAGGAACCAGAGGAACATCGTGTGTTTCATTGATGCTTACTGCACCCTGGTGACTCATCCCTTCCCTGTGGCCCCTCTGTGGGGGGATTGTTCCACTATCTACAAATGGGCTTTGGGTCTCTGCTCCAATGCCCCTCATTCTCAACAATATGTTATGTGTCTGCTGATGCCTATTACCTGGTCCCTATGACTCCTCATGATCGCACTGGCAGTGTGCTTCTTCCATGTGGAATTATTGCTTCAGTGCTGAATGCTGACTTGTGTAACTTCAAGCCTTTAAGATCTCAGATGCCCTATCTTTTAATAGACGGGCACCATCTGCCTTCTTCACCACACTTACTTATGCACCTGTTTTGTCTTCAGCCATTGTGTCCTGAGGGTGAACATTTCAGACTGTTGATTTGTTAGAACAAAGTGTTCTTGTATTGAGGGACAGTATGAGTAGAACCCAAAGTCCTTCCACTCCCTTAGTGTATTGCCATATAAATACATACATAGGCCAATATCTCTATTTTTGTGGATTAATATATTTACATATGTACACCGCTATGTTTATACCTCATCCAGTGCTTTGATTCCTAGGTCCTTCCTCTGTTTCCTTCCTCCTGCCCCACTGTCACTTTCCCCTCATTTGCGTCTCTTGGTACATCCTCTTAGCTAGTTTTCTGTTGCTCCCACCCCACCACCACCACCACCCCACCACCCGTAACCCCCACCCTGCCTCAAATCCCTATCTTCTCCTTGTTATTGACTCCAACAGCCCAGTTGGTGCCTGTCCCTGGCACAGTCTGCTCACCACCTCCTTCCTCCATCACCCTCACCTCCCAGGTCTCCCTGCTCTCTGCTCGGGCATGCCTCCCGTGCCTATCCTTTATAGGTAGGTACACCAACTATCACATAGCCTAAACTGATTTTGAAAAATGAAAATAGTAAATAATTTTTTTTTAAGGAAAAAGAGAATACACAAAAATCCTGGGTCTGTTGGCTGGCCTTCAAGACTGTCCAGGAGCTGCCCCTCCTGGCCTGGAGCACCACTTGAGGGCTCGTAAGGTGCTTAGTAGCTCTGCCTTGCTCCAGCTGCTGATCTGGTATGCTACCTTCTTGGTTCACTTCATTTTGAGGGGTTCAGACCACACTGCCCTCCCACCATGTGACCCCAGAAATGAGGGGACTGGGCAACCAACAACAGCATGTGTCATGCTGTCCCCTTACTGAGGCAGACTGCGACAGATGTATAATTCCTTAAATCCACTGTTGGGTTGGTATCTGGCTTGCTAGTATTCTGCTGAGGGTTTTCAACCATACTGAGTAGGGTGATGAAGGGCTGGTGATGAGGGACAACGTTGTTGATATCATCAGATGGATCTTGGATGAAAGCAGAGAACGCCAGCAAGACGTTCACCCCTGTTTCACTGACTCTGAAAAGGCAGACAACTGTGTGGTTCATAACAAATGATGGAGACCGTTGCAAAGGAGGGGGATGCTAAAGCACGTAAGTGTGTGCATGCAGAACCTGGACACTCCCCAAGAGGCACGTCTTAGAACAGAACAAGGGGTAGACTGTGTGTGGCTTAAAATCAGGAAAGGTGTGTGTCTTTCCACCATACTTATTCCACTCGTATACGGAGCAAATCATCCTCGAAGCTGGTGTCTTTGATCTTTGCAACAAACCGACTTCTGATGCTGCTGGTTCTCGCTATTGCTTCTTTTCTCTGCTCCACGCATTTCTGCTGTATGCCAGTTCTTTGCTATTGGCTTCTTCAGGCTAGTCTGTGTTTTGTTTCCCAATACGGAGCCATTTTATAAATTGTGAATTAGGCAACGGCTTCGGATTTAGTTATCTTTTCCTTACCTAACTCTTCCAGGTGTAGAAGTAGACTATGAATTTGAGATCTATCCTTAGAATTTTCCTCTGAGCATTGCTTTTGCAACACTCTAGACTCTTGGTACAATGGCTTTCGTTTCTATTCAAACCTACATGTTTTCTGCTTTCTCTTGATTCCTTCTTTGATGCCAATGGTTGTTCAACTTCCACATATTTGTATATTTTCCACTTTTGTTTCTGTTACTAATTTCTGTTCTCATTCCATTGTGATCAGAGGAGAAACTTTTTAATTTTTCAGTTTCTTACGACTTATTGTAGTAGTTAGCTTAAAATGCAACACCTTATTATTTGATCTTCCTTTTGACCCATTTTCAAGTTGTTTCAGCTTTTAACATTTTCTGCTTTCTTTTCGAATGAGATTTCTTTTTTGTTTTGTCTAGTTGCTGTTGGGTTTTATTTGTTTGTATTTTTTTGTGTTGTGTTTTGTCTCACTTTCTGTGTATGAAATCCTGGACAGGAAGATCTACAGAGATGGTAAGTGGATTGATAATTGCCTAGGGGTGTGGCAGGGGAGGCTGGAAGGAAGGGGAGCTGACAACCATGGTCACCCCAACAAATTGTTCTGACACTGGTTGTGATAATGACTGCACAAACCTGTTTAATAAGATTGAATCATTAAATTGTATGACATGTGGGATATCACCCAATAAAACTGTACATTTTTAAAACCAAAAACAGATTGATACTTGCTTTGTGATTTCTATTTATTCTTAATATTTTCTAATTATGTTGGGGGAGGATAGGAGTGTGCAGTGGCTCCCCTTGCCATCAAGACTTCCTCTCTAAAAACCAGAGTTGGGGTTTGTTTGATGTGGCAAAGGTGTGCAAAGGGGGACACGCCAAAAGCTCGGGTTATTTCCACATGTGCACTTGCATTTTCTGCAAATATAGCCACAAATGTAGTGGAGCAGACAAGGCACAGTTATGAAAACTTCTTAAACACAGAAAACCATGTGAGGGAATGAGTCCCCGGGCCTGGGGGGCTCAGGACGTCAGCACGGGGAAGACCTAGGACAGCGTTTTACCTCTGATTTTGGCGGGTAGCCACTGGTGGCCTAGAATAGAGAGCGGCTCTCGAAGGTGTTCCTATCAGCCCCTCCCTGTCCACGGAAGGGAGAGTGGTCCAACTTGACTCTGTGGGAGAGAGATGAGGCTTTGTGACAGGACCTGCAGAAATGGTTTCTTGGAGGAATGGCAGGGGAGGTTGGGAGGGGGGGAATGGGAGCGAATAACAATGAATACAAGAAGATAGAAAATGTAAACATCATTGTGGTGTTGACTTTATGACTCTTCTTAATATGACTGAACTGTTGAGTTGCACAAAATATGAATTATATGCTAATAGACTATTAGTAAATAACAAATAAAATAGATGATTCTATGACTATTCGTCTGGTTCCATCCCTAAAATGGAATTGTTGGAGCAAAGGCTAAGTCCCATGTCAAATTAGTACTTAATCTCTACTGTGAGCCTCCAAGCGAGCTCTTCCACAGTGGCACTCTTGTCTTTTCAGCTGGCTAAGGAATACGGCCCTGTCTACACCCTGCGCATTGGCCCGCAGCTCACCGTGGTCTTGCATGGATACGAGGCAGTGAAAGAAGCTCTGATTGATCAGGGGGACGAGTTCCTCGGTAGAGGATCAATGCCAATCGCTGAACATACCCTAAGAGGATATGGTATGTTTCCAATACAATTATGCATTATTTTATTCACATCTGAATATTTAGCCAAAAAGTCTGATGAGCTAACTTGATGAGTATCTGTTTTGCACAAAGCAGTTGATTTAGATGCTCTGATAACACCACCGAGACCACTGTCACAGACTCCAAAGGCCCCAGTGGTGATTCTGTGACGATGCTTCAGGAAAAGCCATCTGTGACTATTCATATTTTATAAATAACCTTCAGAAAAAGACAATCAGTTTTGAGGTCCTACAGTTGAGAAAGCTGGGAAAGCCACGTGTGGGTTTAGGTCTGACATGGTACCAAGGCTGCGACCATACACAAACAAGTAGATATTGAAATCCCTGTGGTTTCCATGGCGGCCTGTTGGTAACAGGGTAGTGAAGGTGATCATGGTGAAGAGAGCTGCAGTCAGGATCTACTTCTCCAGAAGGATGATAGGTTCACTGATAAGTCACTGAATGATTAGACTTCAGTATTTTGCCATATATTCCTTGTTTGGCATCAAATAGTACACAATCAAAGAAAAATTTAGGATAGTTTGAATGTCCCCACAATACCACTTAGGAATAATAAAATTAAAAGTTCAAGAGAAAAGCAACTCAATTATGTTCAAAGCCTATCTATGGATAGCAAAATAAATATAATGCAATTTGCATGTGTTTAAACAAAGGTACAATAGGGTCTACCCTGGGTTACCGCTCTTTTCCCCTAAACAGGTTGATTCCACTGGCTGTGCGGGAGCAATTAGATTAACTCTTAACTAGAAACATAAGGTACTGGGCTGGACTGACCTGAAGTGGGGGAATTTTTCATCACTTGCAGTTTTTGTAACCCTGAGGAAAGTAATTTATAAGCTTCCTATCAAATCCTTCTTACTGCTCATTAGTTACACATGACAGAAACTCCTTCCCTCAACCTCTCTAATCTGGAAAAAAATAAAGAACCAAAACCACACTCACTTCCATTCAGTTGATGCTGATGCATAGCGACCTTGTAGGATGGGATCACCCTGCCGCTGTAGGTTTCTAAGACACTATTCATGGGAATAGAGAGCCCTGTCTTTCTCCCAAGGAGAGTCTGATGGTTGCAAACTGCTGACTTTCAGATTGCAGCCCAACCCATAACCCCCACACCACAAGGGCTGCTAAGAGAAGACCAATCAAAACATTTGTAGTTCTCCTTCCCCAGTGAAGTTCTCTTCTGAAATACTAAAGGGCTTGCTTAGATCCCTGAACAAATGTAATCTAGTGTTGCAAATTCCTGCTCGTGATGCATGTCAGCATGCATTGTTGAAACATGACCTGCCTTTAAGTCAGTGTTTTGCCTAGTTGCCTAACCTTTACACATTTGTCATGCTGAAAGAATGGAACAGTTCAAACCTTCTTTTATTTGTGCAGTGTGTATCCTATTCTGGCATCCTTAAAAGTATAAATAAAGCCCCAATCCCAACTACATGGACAGCACCCTCCCTATCTCACACCACCAAAGAATTTACTTCAGAGGAGAGCAGTGAAGCTACAGATCAGTGAGAGGGACATGCCTGATCAGAGCACACAGGAGCAAATGACAGGGGAGCCAGAGAGAGTGGAGAACATCCTGGCCCACCAAGTCTTGAGGACCATATCCCTGCTCACAGCAGCCAATGCACAGAGAGGACTATATGGCCAGCGCCACTAAGAGACACGACATCCCTCACTGACCCATAGCGCTACGTGGGACAATAATGGAAACACAGTGAAAGAATTGTGCCTGATCTGACCCCACTACACCGAGGCAAATGATTAAGGGAGTGCAACAGAACAGCAAGGGGAGCAGAGCAAGGAAGTCCCAAGGGAGTACCAAAAACAGACTTTGGAGCAGGAGCATGGCACCCCATCAGACTCTACAGCAAAACACTCCTAAATGTCAACGAACAGATCTTGAGCTATTTACAGGCCTTTTGTGTGTGTCATTGGTTTTTTATTGTTGTTTTGTTTTCTTTTTTACTTTGTTTTGCTCTGTCTTGTTTTGGGTGCATATTATTATCTCTGCAGGTCTATCTAGATCAGATAGACAGAATAAACAAGCTGGAGGAAAAAACAATGGGACCAATGGTTCTGGGGGGACATGGGCTATTGGGAGGTGGGGAAAAGGAAGTGGGTGTTAACAAACCTAGAGACAAGGGAACAACAAGTGATCCTAATTAGATAGCAAGGAGGGTGTAGGAGGCCTGGTAGGGCTTGATCAAGGGCAATGTAACTGAGAGGAATTACTGAAACCCAAATGAAGGCTGAGCATGATAGTGGGACAAGAGTAAAATAAAATGAAATAGGGGAAAGAAATGGGAGGCAAGGGGCATTTAGAGTGATCTAAATACAGGCATGTAAATGTGTATGAGAGGTGGAAAACGGAGGCACAGAGCAGAGATAGAATTCAGCCAAGAAGGTGAAGTTAAGAAAGGTTTTATTGAGGCAGGGAAAGAACTCCTGGGTGAAGTCCATAACCTAACAAGCTAGGTTAAGGAAGTAGCACCAGGCAGTAAGGTGGTGGGATGTATATAGGGTTTGAGTTCAGGACGTATTTACTGAGAAGGGGAAGGGAGTTTTTTGGTGCTGTAGCTGCAGGATTTGAGCCAGGATAGGGCCTGTGAGCAAATCATCTTGTTTTTGCAAACTTGCTTCATGCTTCAGTCAGGAATGCTGGGGGAAGGGGCTGGTTGAGCCCTGCCCAGAGAGATAAGCTCCTTGGAATGCTGGAGGCAGGGATTGCAAAGTCCAGCAGATTACCCATCTTTCTGAGAGGTTGGGGGAAGGGGCTGCATGGTACGGACTGGATCCAAACATCACAGACTCTTTGTGATTAGGGACACTAAGTTTCGTCTTTAACTACGTCCTGCTGAGATAGGGCGACAAGGGAAGGGTGTAAAAGTCGGCAAGTTTAAGGTTTGGGTCAGTTGGCAGCGGACTGTAGGGATGAAGTGGGAGCTGGTTAATGGCTAGATTGGAGATGTCTTTCATCCATTCTGGCAAAAATTTAAACACACAGGGAGCTAAAAGTAAAAGTAGACATATTATTATTAGGGGCCCAATCAGGGGCATAAGCCAGGTCATAACAGGATTCTGAAACCATGAGGAAGGGCTGGTAGTATCCCACTGATTTTTAAATTTCATCAGCCATGGTGTGGAGTACTTTAATGTTTTGCTGAACTATACCTGATTCATTAATATAGTAACAACATTCTTCATTTAAGAACATGCATGTCCCTCCCTTATCTACTGTTAGTAAGTCGAGGGCTCGGCGACTTTGTAGGGTGACTTATGCTAAGGATGTTAGCTGCCTTTGGAGGGAGAGAAGAGGGTTAGAAGTGGAATCCACAGCAAATTGTATTTTGTCATTAAAGGTCTGAGCTTGAATAATAGTTTGTCCTATTGCTCCTTCTGACATGGCTGCAGCTAAGGAGGAAGCAAAACTGAGCCACTGGCAAAAATACTGCTTGTTTGATTCAAGGGTTAGAACGAGTGGGTAGTTTCCACAGCCACTGGAATTCAGCTTGTCCGTACATCATAAGTTGTGGGACTACAGTGACTGGGAGGCAAAGGGAGTAGTGCGAGGCATTGAGACACTTTGTGAGGGTTCCATTTCACCAGAAATGGGCTCCTAGTGGAGCTTCCAGTGAGCCTGTAACCTCTTGGGTACGGTTGCAACTAGGTATGCTGTGGGTCTGTGCTATGGATGGTAAGTAGCACAGGGGGTAGATGACATTAATCTGGCCTTCTGGGACAAATAATGGTATATTAGGAATGGGAGCGGGACAGGGGTTGCTAATATTACCAGAGGGGGAGGGAGTTTATTGGAACAGTTGCCAACAATGGACCTTGGAGGGAAGCACAGAGAAAACAGGATGAGTTTTCTGTCCCAGAAGCATTTAATAAGAGGGCTGCTTCCTAGATCAGTTTCACCCACTTGAAAGGGTGAGGTTTATTGTCTTTTTTTGTTATTTGGGTTAATAGATTAAGTTTGCTGTTTCATATTTCTTCATCAAGCTTCTTGGGTGAGGGAGAAACTTGGATATATTGTCTTTGGATGTTTAGGATGACTATGGGTTTTTTGCCTCAGCGGTAGTATCACAGACCTCCCTCAACACCTTTTTCCCATATTGAGTCCAAGGGATCTGAGATATAGAGTTTATACTTTCCTCGCTTATTGGTGGTGAAGATATTAGAATGGAAAAAGTCTAAGTGGTATTTGCAAGACCAGTAAGGATACCCCTTGTACTGGTTAGACCACTGTCTACAGGAGTCTTTGACCTGGTCCTAAACAAAGCAGAGCTTTAGAGGGTCTGCTTTTCTTGCAAAGTTGTACCCGACTGTACTTGCTACTACGGAGGAGAAACCAGTCCAGTTAAATGGGATGCAGACTGTTCCTTGACATCCACTCAGGCCACGGTGTGCTTTGCTGACAACATGAGTTTTGCCTTGATAGGTTTCTCAAACAACAAATTGCCACACATAAGACACTGGGCGTGGTAGGGTAGAAGATGGCCACGGGAAAGGTAATTCTTTGTTTATACCACAAGGCACAGGTGGAGTTAGGTATGGGAAACAGAAGGCACCTTAGTAAAGTATAGGGTAGTAGGCCCCACAACTTGGGTTGAATACCGGGCATGATTTGTGTCGGGGGCTAGCTTCACTCTGGTGAGGTGATGCCAGTTAGGGCCACCGAGGACTCTGACAGCCCTGGGGGTGGTGAGGATGATTGTGTATGGCCCTGTCCACTTAGGCTGCAAAGCCTGCGGGTGATGTTCTTTCAGCAGGACAGAGTCTCCTGGACTGATCACTGGCAAGTCGGGTCGTGTAGGATCAGGAGTTGGCAGATACCTGTCAGCATGCTCCTGGAGCAGTTTCCTTAAAAGAGAAAGAAAAGGTAAATAGTTTGCTAGTGGTGGTGTTTGGATTGGTACATTGTGGTTGATAAGAAAGGGCTTGCCACATAGAAGTTCAAACGGGCTTAGA